CATCCCTTAGTTACCTGTTCTCCCACTCTCAGCATCCCTTAGTGACCTGTTCTCCACTCTCAGCATCCCTTAGTTAACTGTTCTTCTTTATGTAGGGTTGAGGCCTCATGGACTTTTATGGATGCATTATTATTAATTTTTTACTTCCCATCTTGTTCCTGTATTATTCTCTCTCTATTAGCTTTTCTTTAACTGGTTATATTTGTAGGGCCTCAGCAAAATTAAGAAAGTATAAGGCTGTGATATACCTCCTGCCCTACACATAATTACCCTCCTGCCGCAGAGCAGGATTTGTAATTATTGAGGAACTCTGCCCTGCCCACATCATACAAACCCACAGCTGTCACGAAGGTTCCCTTTTGGTACTGGACACTCTGGATCTTTAAGAATGTAATTCCACCATTATGCTATCATTGGCACCTCTGCTCGGCCCTACACATCCTCTATGCTCTTCCTACCCATTCATCCTTCTCCCCTAGCCCCTGGTGACCACCCATTTCTTTACTCTTCCTAGTTTTACCTCTTCCACAATGTCACATAATCTTCTCTGGTTGGTTTCTTCTTTCTCCTAATTGTATATATTCAAGGTATTCAACATGATGTTTTGATATAAATACTGAAATTATGATATTCAAGGAAAGAATCATATCCATTCTACCTTTTCTTCCTTCTCTCTCTCTTGGTTAAGAGGAACCGAAATCTATCCTCTTGGCAAATTTCCAACAAACTTGATGTTAACCACAACCAACCCTGTACATCAGGTCTCTAGACTCCTTATCGTGCTTAACTTTGTGTCCGGCAATCAAGAACTCACCATCTTCTCCTCCCTCCTCCAGTATCCTTGACAGTTTTATTCTGTTATTTTTAACCAAACCTTTTTAGCATCCACGTGCAAGTTCGGATGCAGGTTTTCTTTCTGTCTGGCTTATTTCACTTCTCATTATCATAATATCTTCCATTATAATGTCTTCCAGGCTCCCCCATGCTCCCAGCACTGGCAAGATTTCCCCCTTTGAGCCTGCTTTTAAAGGTTGAATAATATCCCAATACACACACAGACCAGAGCTTATCCATCTACCTACAGACACACAGGGTGTTCCTATCTATGTTCCAGCATTGTGAAGAACACGGTAATAAACAAGTAGCATAGGTTATTCCCACAAGGTATGGGCTTCGTTTTCTGTGTACACATACCTCAAGCAGAACCCTGGAGAATATGGTTTATTTCACCTGATAACATGCTTTTGTGACTTTTCCATGCTACTTCAGGGTCTGGACGTTCATTTCTTACTAGGACAAAACACTTTTTCCTCTTGTTTCAATGTCACAGTTTGCTTAGTCATTCATCAACTAAAGGGTATTTTGGTCACTGCCTGGAAATTATAAATAAAATTGCTATAAACATCTATATACAAGTTTTGTGTATATATAAAAGTCTTTGGGTAAATGCAGAGAGAGGTAATCCTGGCAGACCCTGTGGTAAAGTATGGTTTTGTAAGAATAAATAACAACAAAACAAAGCCTGTCCAACTCTATTCCAGGGTGGCTAGGAAGGTGGTTCCTCGTGTTCCCATCATTGTAGCATCTGTTGTGACACTACTCTGGATCTGTCACCTAAGTATATTTATTCCCACTGTTGTTTCCATTACACACACACACCCCTTTTGTGGTTAGTTTAGCATGAATCTTTTTCTGAACTGTGAAGCATTAATCTAACTAAGCTTTATCAAAACAAAATCAAAATCGGAGTCAAACGCTGGGGTAAGAACCTGAAAGATCCGAACAGGGAGCAGCCACCAGCTGCTTCCTACCACTCCAGTCCCTCAGCTATCCCTTAACAAACTGTACGGTACTGACAGGATAAACGGAAACTCTGGCTTACTAAGTGACAGGCTTAATCACACAACGGTCACACAGGAAGAAGACATGTCTTTCTTGAAAGGTGCCCTCATTACTTGTAGCTAGAGGTATTTTATTTTGGGCAGAAGAAATTCTATACCAAGTACTCCTCTAATCCCCAGTGAGAGGAGATGCCCGTGCCAGCATTCTAGAATGGTTATCATGTGTCTTCCTCCGCTTGCCTGCTGATGTTCACTTACATTCTGCCGTCAGGAAGATGACTCACAGTCAAATGTAGAACTCATTCACTTCCTCTAGAAAATAAGCTTGAAGGTTTGCATGGTGGGAAATGGCAGCAGACTGTGTATGACTTGGGGTTATGAAGTACAAGTCCAGTTCTTCTAACCAACTGACTGGCTGTGCAGCCCTGGGTAAACACACTTCATCTTTGACTGTCTCATTTTGCTAATCTCTAACACATATGACAAAATCTGCCTTGTGAGGTTGTTAGGTTACATTATGTTAGAAGGTTATGACACTGCTGAACACACACACAATCACTATAACTAATGCTATTCTTAAAGACGCTAGAGTTGTCATTGCAGGTAAGAAAGGAAAGAGGGCTGGGCATGATGGCACACACCTTTAATGCCAACACTTAGGAGGCAGGGGCAGGTAGAACTCTGCCAATTTGAGGTCAGCCAGGGCTACATAGGACGTCCCAAGCCAGTCTGGAGAGCTGGCTCAGCAATTAAAAGAACTGGCTGCTCTTTCAGAGGTCCTGAGTTCAATTCTCAGCAACTGCACAGTGGCTCACAACCCGATGCCCTCTTCTTGTGTACAGACATAAACAACAAAGTGCCAATGTACATAGAAGACATAAATAAATACATCTTAAGAAGAAAAGAAAGTTAGAATCCAGCCAGGGCCACTGTGGTGGTTTAAAAATGAGAATGATGCCCCCATAGACACGTACATTTGAATGTTTGGTCTCCAGTTGGTGAAACTGTTTGGAAAAGGTTAGGAGGTGTGGCCTTGCTGGAGGAGATGTGTCGCGGGGCGACAGAAGCCCACATCAGACCCATTCTAGCTTGCTTTCTGCCTGCTGTCTGGTGGCTGCCATGCTTCCCACCGTGAAGACTGGGTGTTGAAGAGTTGGGGAACAGCATACGGCCGGACAGTAAGTGGACAGACAGGGTGCAGGTTGGGGAATGAAAGGCACATAAGACCCGTGAAATAACTGACATAATTGAGATAATTATCAGAACATCATTAAGCCAAAGGCTCTGAAGGCAACCCTGGTGATAAGTGGTGCGCTGTGGGATGAGGAGCCGGAAGCAATGCAGTGCTCCAGAGCACTCATCCCCTCCTGGCGGTGACGTGGAAGCCAGGCGAGGGAGCGCAACTGTTCTAACCCCAGAGCATAAGCCATGTTTTCACAGAATGTCCAGCAGCCACTGCTTCTGAGATTCCATCATGTGTAAGACATTGCAGTCCTGTGAGGTTCTGTCCCAGTGGGAGCTCAGCTTTCACCTTGGATCTGACACCTTGCAGTCATGATTTTGTTTTATTCTAGGAAAAAAGTGTTGCCAAGACCATTTTACAGTCAGCACACTAAGGCTGGGGGTATATGCACCTCGACATGCCTTCTCAGGTCCCAAGAGATATCCCGACAGACCACAACCCTGCTTAAAACTTCAAGTACCAGAGTTTCATGTGAAAAAACCCTCTCCTTTTATAAACAGGAAATTTCCCCTTTATCTTTTAACTCTAGACAAAAAAAAAAAAAAAAAAAAAAAAAAGAAAAGAAAAAGAAAAACATTATCTTTTATAAAGACTTAAAATAACCTTTTTTTTTTTTCTGACAAGTGACTCCAGCTTGAACACAGTAACCCTTTATGACAGCCAACTAAGAGGGGGAAATTAGCCACATGCTCCTCTCCAGTCTCACAGGAACACACTGAGAAGCAGCCTACCTGTCCTGAGAGCTTTACAATGACTGAGGAATCGATCAGCGGAGACAGGGGCAGCATATGAGTGGAGAACCATGAGAGTTTAGTTCACGGACCCAAGCAGGCTAGAAAAGGAAAAGAAAAGGAAAGGGAAAGAAACAGATGTCTTCACTTTATGTGCCCAGAGTTACAGAACAACAGTGTCAGAAATTTAAGGGTAAATGGTCCAAAGGATAAAATTAATATTATTTTTAAAATTCCATAAATTCAAATACTACTCTCAAATAACTGAAGCTGACAGCCACACATGGTGGCATTTACTAAAAGAATATATCATCATAACGCTAAGAAGACCTATACTAATTTAAAGAACAGTTTTCATGCAAAGAAGTGAAATTCTGTAATTGATGTTCTTGGCAGGATTTACAAATGCTGTCTGAAGGTATATTCCTGAATTCAAATGCTCTTATAACAGCTTGCTACCTTATACTCTTCTGGCATTTTTATCTATCTGCACATTCACCCTGAGGGCAGAGGCATGCACTGGGAAGCCTGATGGTCAAACCCAACTACTGATATGAGCTGCAGCTTTCACCTATGAATCCCAAGGTAGTTTTGGATAAGCATCACTTAGGTGACTTGTTACAAAAATCTGTTCATTAAAAAAATCCAACAAAATAGGAATTTCTGATGCATAAACAAGGGAAATAAAATAGAATGGTGGTTTTAGAATTCTCTTCTCAAGAGTCTTAAAATTCTCAAAAATTACCTTTAGGGTTCTCATCTGTTTGAGCCTAGAATAATCCCACTTTAAAAATCTATTTTGTATATGTATTCTGCTTCTGTAAATCTGAAGCCACAAGACGAAGTGAGAGCAAACCGAGCTTGGCCATACAGAGATAAAGCTTATGTTGGACTTCAACACAAATCTAATCCAAAGATAATTGACAAAAACACCAGCTTTCACCTTCAGATCAAGAAAGCAAAGCTGATCACCACACCACTGATGATAAATGCTCATTGGAAATTAGATTCCTGGGTGAGTGTGATGCTGGAGTTCCAAGCTAGTGTCTTGGTTGTGTTTACAAAGTATATATGCCACCACTAAGCTACTCCTTCACCCTAAGCCTTTAGATCCCAGATGTTCACTTCTTATGCAAATACAAACTCAAGAGACTGGATCCAGTGAAAGCATGGTAGGTTACTCACCTGTCTGAATGCACATACTAAGCAGGAGATGGACTGAGTAAGATGCCAGGAAAGCAACTAACAGCAGCAAGAAACTAAAATATAAAATAACACACGATTAGGTTTTCCCTGAACTTGCTCTTTTCATGACATCTCATTACAGATTTCTTCAGTCAGGTGGTCATAGGGAGTATCTTTTAATAGAACTACAGACATTAAGGAAAGGACTGCTCTGAATTTACCGATACGTGCTTAAATGAAATACAATGCTTTGAAAACTGAAAGAGAAGTCAACAGAAATAAACTTCACTTAAAACCCAAATTCCTCCTTTTGCACTGTTTGCTGATGACCAGCTCAGTGCTCTGTGATATATACACAGTCCCTTTAAATGACTCATTTTTCCTGCTCTAAGTCTCAGTGTCTTCTTTTTAACCCCATCTCCCCAACACCCTCCCCTTCCAGTGATGTGGACCCATTAACCAGTGCTTTACCTGTAATAACAAGATGGCTGGCGATTTCTAGCCTCTGCGAAACATACGTCTCTTTCCAGCTCAAACCCAAACAATGCAATGAACACATTTCTAATGACATAATTTAAAAACCAGTGTAAACAAACAGCACAAATGATTCCTGCTTATTCTTGGGAAGACTCTGGCAGGGCAGGCTTCTAGCTATACTACTGTGCCCACTGTACTACTCAAGACTTACAGAAATCCTCTCTGTGACTCATGAAATACTTATTAGTAAGTAGCAAGCAGTCATTAAACTGACATTGGAGACACACAAAATAACAGTCTGACAGCAGCAAAAGGGACATTTGACCTGACACAGTGAGCCCACGTCAGTGCTGTACACTTCATCTATCTAAGAGTCAATATATAAAACATGAATTTTTCAAAGAGCTTAAAAAAAAAAAAAAAAGAGGCTCTCTGATTACGAGTCACTTAACAAGTCACATGCAGTTTCTAAAACTGTCAAAGCTTATGAACACATCCCCACAACAAAAGTGAAATGGGCTACTTAAAAGCTGCTTTGCTTGTCAAGAAACCTGGAAAAGGGGAGCAAACTGAAAGGAGACTTCGCATTTGCAGTTGGCTTCTACTGACAAACCAGCCAAAGTAACCGGTGCTAGATGCTCAGCATGAGATCTGGTCCTAAAAGATTTCAGAGCTTAGAGCAGAGAGGCACTTGCAGGACCCAAGCCAGCAAATGTCAGTAAAACAAAGAATGTATAAAGCACTATGTGAACAGCAACAGCCAGAAAACTACAGGGCTAACAGTTTGGCTGTGGGGGTTTGCAAGAGAACGGCCCCCATGGCCTCACGGCAATCAGTGAATGCTTGGATAGCAGTTGGTGATGGACTTAGGAAGGACTGGGGGGGACTGTCTTGTCCAGTTCTCCGGGCTGTGGATCAGGTTGTAAGCCCTCAGCTACTGCTCCAGGGCCATGCCTGCCTGTCTGCCTCCAGCCACACTGTAAGCGGCCCCCAACTAAATGCTTTCTTTTATAAGCTGCCTTGGTCACGGTGTCTAGTCACAGCCATAGAACAGTATGAAGACAACGGCCCATAACCATCTCTTGAAAATAGGCACAGAACATTGCCAGGCTCCAGATCATTAAAGTAGTCTATTTAGCAGCAGGAGAGAGAGAGAAGAATATTTTCTCTGCACTTAACCGCTATTAACTTGCATGGCTGACAAGTATTGATTCACACTGGACAACCTGACATAAATTAACTTGGAGATGAGGCTGGTTTTTTTTTTTTTTTAATTAAAATGAGTGTAAATCAAATCTTAAAAAAAAAAAATCTTTGCCACATTTTTAGATTAGTAAAAATCAATGAGTCACTATGTCCCAGATAACAATGAGGTCTCCGTGATGTCATGGCTGCCCTCCTGTTATAGGACAACATAGTACTCGTGTCCACGGTAAAGCTGGGGAAACACTACTACACTGACAATCACATTAAGTACATTAAGTATAGTATATGTTTTATATATATAAATCTATATATAGATTACTCACCAAGAGTAAATGATCAAATCATTGGTTTATGTATTTATTATACTATTATACTATATTTTTTAATTTTAGAGTACACTTTTATTGTCACTGCTGTTGGTTGGTTTTTTGAGGCAGGGTCTCATGGAGCTTAGGCTAGTCCTTGAATTCATGTGGCCGAGGAAGACCCTGAATTCCTGACCTTCTTGTCTCTACTTCCCAGCTAACAGGGTTACAGGCTGTAGCATGTTCCTTCTTGTTACAGGGCGATGTGAACTGCAAAAACAGTCAGACTAGTCCTTCGAGTGCATCAGAAAAGGCTGTTGGGTACCACAGCTTCAGGTGTGGTTGCCCTGAAGAGCTCCCAGGGGAACATGATGGGGACTGAGGTTGACGACCCTGGCTCTCAGGCAGTGAGTGTGTTTATGTCTTAGTTTTAAAGAAGAAACTTTAAGAAGTAAAATATGAAAATAAAGTAGATTAAATTTTTAAAAAGCTTATAGAATAAAAACATAAGGAAAGGTTTTATATGGTAAATGACACATTTGTATTTTAAGCTGTTATAACAGGAATCACAAAGTTAAAAAAACAAAACAGAAGACCCTTAAAACCAGTCCTCCAACCAAACACTGGTGGCATACTCCTTTAATTCTAGCACTGAGGCGGCAGAGGCAGAGCTCTGTGAATTAGAGGCCAGCCTGGTCTACAGAGTTCCAGAACAGCCAAAGCTACACAGAGAAACCCTGTGTCAAAAAAACAAAACAAAAAACCAAACAAACAAACAAACAAAAAAAAAAAACCCAAAACCAAAAAACCAACCAACCAAACAAACAAAAAAAAAAAAAAACCAAGAAAAACAAAACAACAAACAAACATAAAGCTCTCCAACTTCGCCTCACAGTCATGCCCTATTCAGGAACACCATTTTTCTTTCACTAAACCTCTTGGATACGTATATGCACAAATACAACTGCTTTACTGCAGTAACGTGCAGAATACATTATACTACAGGATTCTTAACCTAGGAGCAACAGGCTGCACCATACAGTGTAGACGTGTGGGCAGCTCTGCCACTTCTATATGGATCACCCAAGGGTGAGTCAGGCTAGTGCCACACTTCAGAACCATTAGCAATGGCTACCCCATTTGGTAAAGTTCCTTCTCTATTTCAGTCAAACAATGACAATTCCCAAAATGAAGTCATTTGGTTCTGAGAACTAAAGTAACTTGTTTTTCTGGATTCTCACCCTCTGTGCCCTATGGACCCTAGTAATGGGTGACTAAGGAAGATGTTTATCTGGCACATGACATCCTCACCACTCACCTTACTTCCCTAGCTACCTCTAGCAACCCACCTGCCCAAAAGGGGTAAATTTCAGTGGCCCTGCGTCCTTTCCTTTTTGCGCCCTATAATTACCTCAGCCTGAAAGCCAACAGGCTCTTATTCTTGCGCTGGAGCTTCTCCCCAATGCCTGCCCGAAGGTCCTTACCCAACTAAAGCCCTGCTGTCTTAAGAGTCATTGATTCCCAGCACAAGGGTAACAAAACAATGCTAAAACCTCAGAAATACTCCAAAATTCTTTATCAAAATGAAAACGTGATGACAAAACATGAAAACAGGCCTCACCTAAATCCAAGGACACCGGTATTAGCCATCACATAAGCCAAGCCAAGGATGCCACTTCCCATGATGGCATTCATCACATTAAAGACTGAGAAACCGAACGAAGCACCTGGGGATCCCTGGCTGTGAACTTCCTGCAAAGGGACAATGAAACCACTTTAAATGTCTGAATGAGGAAGTTAAAACCTGTCGAAACATCACTGTCAATTCGTGGAGCCAATCTAGAAGCCCGAGGATTCGCGTGCAACATTAATTACTTAACCAGCACATGTTTAGTTCTTCTGTCCATGTAAGACAAGCTGGAGTCATCCGAGAAGAGGACACCTCAGTAGAGGGAAAGGCCTCATCAGACAGCCTCTAGGCAAGCCTGTGGGAGCACCTTCCTGATTGGTATGGAATGGCACAGCCCGTTTTGGGCAGTGCCATCCCTGGGCAGGCCCCTCCTGGGATGAAAGAAAGAAGCAAGCCGGAAGGGTCAAGCCAAAAAGCAGTATTCAGCCACGGCATCTGCTTCAGTTTCTGCCTCCTGCCCAGCCTTCTCTTCAGAAGGACTGTGGCTGTAAGGGGAAATAAACCTAAGTTGCTTTTTGTCAGGGGCTTTATCACACCAATAGAAAGCAAATTTGGACACAGCACTTTTCCTTATTTTTGACCTCCTCCTCCAGTGCAGGGCCCAGGCTGGCTTCCCTGGGAGCCATGGCCTTTCTTTGTGACTTCAAGGGATCAAGATAAGGAAGGCAAAGGGTGGGGACTGACAGAAGCAAGAGGACTCAGCTCACGTGATTCCCTGAAGAATCCCTGTGTCAGCATGGAACTCTTGTCTGTGGTTTCTCCGAGTACTAGGGCTGCAAAACTAACCTTTTGTTTATATACCTAATGAAGTAGGTCTTCCCAGAAGAGTGATCAGGAATGCCTTACAGGGCCAACAGAAGCAAAACTATCTTCTGTTACAGTCCAAGGACTGAGTTGAAAGTGGAGTGCCAGGACTGGAAAGCAGTTCTGGGTTAGAGCGCTTATGTAGCAAGCCCAAGGCGCTGGGCTGGACCTTCAGCATTGAAGAGGGGGCGGAGGTCCTGGGACACACACAGCCCACTACACCGGCTATAGGTTAAGGACGAGCTATGTGCATATTAACAGATTTCTCTCCTCGTCTTCACTTACAGGGTCTTCTGTACTAAAGTACCTATAGCTCACCTTTCCCTTCGCCCCATGATTAAGTCCAGAAAAGAAATACCTCATGATTCTTGCACAGATCTCAAAAGACTAGAGGAAACTGAAAAGGCGCAAAGATACAAAACAACGGTGAGTCACAAAACCCTAGTTCGTCCCGCCGGTGTCCCAAGTCCCACTTCTGACTGAGTGAGCCAAGTTACTGCCACGTTCCAAACTCGACTAAGTTCAGTGGTTCGGGCCTCAACCCGGGATCCATCCCCTCCTGTCCAGAACTCTCCTTGCAAGCGCTGGAGGATGCCAGAGCGCATCAGCCCCGCACTGCTAGCGGAGCCCACTTACGTTGCTTAGCAACGGGCTCCGCTCTTCGGCAGCCGCCGCCTCCTCTGGCTGCTGGGCAGAGACGTACCAGCCCGGCTCGGCTTTGAAGGTGTCCTGGGACGCCTGCATGCTGCTCCGCGGCCGACTACCAAGTCCATCAGCGAGCCTCTGGCCCAGCCCCACGCGCCCTGTGCAGTCGCTTCTGGGGCGGAGTTACGAGCCTGGCCCTTCCGGGTTTCCGTAACTCACCGCGGCCAGAAGAGTCCACGAGATCTGACTTTATGCTCCCTTGGCGGCCAGCAGTGATGACGTCGCCGAGAGCCCGCCCACCCTCAGAAGACCCATTTCCGAGCTGCACCAGAGCATGAGGTGAGGGTTCTGGTCTTAAGCCGGCTCCGATGATGCTGGACTTAGGAAGGTGCGGCGGGTGAGGGGCCCGTAGTGTCCCGGGTGACGCGAAAGACCTGACGATCCCGCAGCAGAGCCCGTGCTCTCGTCTCCCGCCCAAGGAGCGCGGAAAACCACCGGGCCATTTGTCTTCATGGCCAACAGGCTGCTAATCCAAGACCCGAGCCCTTGGTAAAGGGGGCTGAGCAAACGCTTGTTCAGGGTTGGGGTGTAGCTCAAGGGTTGAACGATTGCCTAGCATGAGTAATGCTCAGGATTAGATTCCCATTATCACAAAAATCTTTTCATGGTTTTTATCCACGTTTTACAAATAGTAAATGGTTGCACCTAAATTACCGTCAGTATAGTTCATTAACTACTAGTATAAAGCCAAACTTAATTGGTTTATATCGTAGGGATCTGTGACGACCGAACCCTTTACCATTTAGTTGGTATTTTAAAAGATGAATAACTGATACTGTGCTTCAAACACAGCCAAGCCTCGACATCAAAATACCGAACGAAGCCTTTAGTTTTAGGCAAGACACATGGCAGTACAGTATGCATGGCGTCCTAGCAATATACTAAGGCCATGTGTGAGGGGAGAACCTCTCATTTATCCAGACTGGTCTGGAGGATGCCCTTGAATTTCTGACCCTCCTGCCTTCTCTCCTGAGTGGAGTGTTGGGATCAGAGGCCAGCACCTGCTGAAAGCAGGTGGGTTTGTGTGTGCATGCTAGGCAAGCACTCTTCCAGCTGAGCTACATCCCCAGCCCTTAAGCTCATTCTTAACCCAAAGATTTTGTTTTTTTGAGATTGCTCTCAAATGTATCCCAGGCTGGCCTTGGATGTTTAATCCTCCTCCCTGTCTCCCTATTGCTGAGAGTACAGACAGACACCACCATGCCTGATACATGTGATGATGGGAACAGACCCAAGGCTTTGTGCATGCTAATCAAGCTATGTTTCTAGCCTTGTTGAATGAACCACTTACCAACTGAAGAACTCTGGGTGATGAACTTATTCCATAACTTATAAAGTTCACACTATAGCTTCTAGTACAATAGCCCATAAGAATATCCTAGGAAATATTGCCATTGGTGGTATCATATGTCATAACCATTTCATTTAGAGATGCCCCTTATCTCAGATTTCATACTTCCCATTGTACATGTGTTCTGTAGGAAATTGTGAGCAGAGGCCATTGGGTATGGGGACGCTGCTGGACTACTTATCCTTCTGTTACAAGGGCAAGTAGACTGACGATGGAAATGTATTATTTAATCAGTGACAAAAATACGGTTCTGCAGGAGAGACTGCTCTCCCCTGCCGTTCAGACTTTTTGTCAGCACTTAGAAGGTGATTTGAAACGCCATTGTGAATGTGCTCATATGTGATTCCATGGTGTCTTTTGAATCTTTTCCTAGAATCTTATGGAAGCCATTTGGATTCTCAAGAAGACTTTTGCAGGTAGAATGTTGTCACCCCAATGAATTGCTATCTTTGTCTGTACTAACCAGGAGGACATTGGTACCAGGGCTTAGGAAAGCACCTAGTATTCTCCAGTTGGGTCAGAGACAAGGATTCTCAACCATGCCAGAAATAGAAGCCAGTGTGAGAGATCCCGAACTATTTTCACCACCCTCTGATGTTCGAGGGATGACAAAACTTGATAGAACAGCCTTTAAAAAGACGGTGTCCGTCCCGGTGCTTAAAGCGAGGAAAGAAGTGGTCAACAGACTGATGCGGGCCCTCAAGAGAGTGGCCCTGCAGCGCCCAGGCATAAAGCGAGTCATTGAGGACCCCCAAGATGGAGACAGTAGACTCATTATGTTGGATCCCTACAAAATGCTTACCGTTGATGGCTTTGAGAAAGCAGAACTCGCTGTTCTAGAGGAACTTGATGTCAACCCACAGTTATCCGAATACAATTTGGAACTAACTTATGAAAATTTTAAGTCAGAAGAAGTTTTGAGAGCTGTGCTCCCTGAGGGTCAAGACGTGACTTCAGGGTTCAGCAGAGTTGGACATATTGCACACCTGAATCTCCGAGATCATCAGCTACCGTTCAAGCATTTAATTGGTAGGTATATTATAGTCGGGTTCACGGTCTAGGGAAAAAAAAAAATGACTAATTCTAATTTTAGTGCTTCAATTTTCGTTTTAAAATGCTAACTTATAGAAGCAGGATAGTTTATGTTTAATTTGAAACCAAATGATAAGCACCATCCTGATTCTTTGAAGAGCATTTTGGATATATCCTCTCCATAGTCACGGATTGACATAGACTTTGGGTCTCACGACACAAAAAGATGGATTTATATTGAACATAATTCTTTTGGTCCAAAAAGATACTCTGCCTTTGGGACAATGTTCAGTACTAGGTTTCAAAAATTTTGGTGTCAAGTATACAATGCTATTCATTTATTGATTTAGCTGATTAAGCCTCTTCTTTATGTTAAGCACTTGAAGACATTTTTAAGTCTTCCTAGCTGTTTAGAAGCTGTAATGTACATCCAACTATTGTAGCCCCATGGAGACCCAGGCCTTTATTTGGCTAGAAGGCTAATCAAAATCACATTTTATATAAATACTTGGTGTACATGCACTCTGTAGATTATTACTCTTCTTTAATACAATAATATTTCAAAACTTGTAAGGATTATCCTGAGCTTTAAAATGCAGCATTCAGTGTTTTGCATGGTGATAACGGTACCATTCTGCTTTCTCTGTTTTCCTTGACAGAGACACTGATCCTGCACAGCAGTGACCCTTAGAGTGGGGGCTAGGTGCAGCATCAGATGTGGACTTTCATTTACTACCTGCCTACCCTAATTCAAAACATTCTTTGCCCATTCTTGTCTTTTAATTTTTCATGAAGTGCTCAGTGATTACAAAACATCTTTGGCTGGAGACACAGCCCAGCGGGCTTACCAAATAAGTGCAAAGCTGTAAGTTTCTGCTATGGCATTTTAGAATTGCTATTACTGTTTTAAAATTTCATTTAAAATTAACTTTCATATCATAAAAGTTAGTGGAAGGCAATACAGCCGTGAATGCATGGACAGCACAAACTTGATGTGGTAGGCGGGAAAAAACAAAAGAGGACGCAGAGTGGGTGGGTAGGGAAGTGGGATGGGTGGGTCTGGGAGTTGGAGAAGGGTGTTAATAGCCTTAAAACTCACTCTACAAATTCTCATAGGTTTTTTTTTTTTTTTTTTTTAATTGAGCTCGGATATTTGAAGTAGAACACTTATTCTGAATTCTGAAGTTGTCGTTGTTTTTCAGTGAATTTATATTCAGTACATTTTACTAACTTACAGATGAAGTTCTTTCCTTATGAAATGAGAGCACAAAGAAAGATCTTTATACGATTTTAAAATGTTGACAAAGAGAGACTTGATTAAAGGGCAACAGAAAGTAATCTTAATGTATATTGTTGTCTTTGTAGATTTCCGCTATGGTGAATATCCAACTGAAAGAACAATTTAAGTAAAAGGACTTTTTAAATTTAGGTCAGACTCTGAAGAGCCTTTGTATCCTTGGTTGTAAACGTTGCTTGCTGACACACTTTTCCAAACTGGAGACGCTTGTTTCGAACCCACAGGGAAAGAAACCGCTGGTGTGAGGCCAGCAGGGACAGCCATGTCTTTGCTAGTATTTCAGGGACCATTTGTTGTTCAGGGCCCTCACAGCTTCTCATTCCATTCTTTGCCAGGTTCATATTTGCTCTTATTTTAGTACCCTTAACAAAAATGTGGAAAAACAGTAGATCAAAAGCCCTCAACAAAATTTTAACGGTGCCCATAAATTTTCTATAGGTCTGTAGGCCGTCAGTCGTCAACTCATCTCTGTGATTTTCAGGATTGTAGGCAGAATTACACACACCAAGTACAGTTTTTTATTTGTAAACCTAAGGAAAATATAATTCATTTCTATTAAGTATTTTTAGTTTTCATTTCACAAACAATAGGCAGTATTTATAATGAATTTACACCTTCTAGGCCAAGTTATGATTGACAAGAACCCAGGAATCACCTCTGCAGTAAATAAAACCAGCAATATTGACAACACATACCGAAATTTCCAAATGGAGGTGCTGTCTGGAGAGGAGAATATGCTGACCAAGGTACTGTGCTGGGTAACAACTCAGAGGGGCATAAAGACTGGTGCTTAGAGCCAAGACAGCACGTGTTCAGAATGCCCAGGGGTGAAGTGCTGGCTGTGTGAGGCTGAACAACCTCTATCCTCAGACTGGAAGAGGAGTTAGTTAAATGCTTCTCTAACGATGGCGAGCAGTCCATCAGCAGTGTGTGCCAAGGAGTTCTAGAGACATCCACCCGCCAGGTTATTCCCAGCCACTCGGGGGCAGACACATAACCGTTTCCAGCTCTGATCAGAAGCCTCTGGTTTGGTTTGAGGGGGAAAGTAATAAACCAACATGAAATTCGGGCCCCGGGAGCAGAAGAAAGATGTAGCAGCTTTGTCTAAGTTAGGAGCTTTCTGGTCTTTGATTCTTTGTTTATAAAACGAGGGGCTTAAACATCGAATTCATAGACATGAGATCTGTAAAATTTTAGTAATTGTCATGTAACAACATAGATACCTCAAATTCTAACATGTCTCCCTTTGCAACCCGAATGCTGTGGAGGGCTGCATGCTTGCTGGGTGGAAGTGCCCTATAAGAGGGAGGTTTCAGATGATTCATGCTATTTTCATTCTTCATGTGGTAACACAAGCCAGTTAGTTGGCCTCTCTGCAGCATTCCTCGTGTGAATTGGAATCAACTTTATGACCCTAAGGATGGGAACAACTATCCGGCTTTGGA